AGGCAACGAATTATGGACAAAATATTATTTTGCAATTACCTAGGGCAAAAAAAAAGTCAACTATTTGTGTGAACAAAACAGAAATTTATTTCTCCTTTATTTATTTAAGAAATTTATTTCTCCTATACTAGATTTGGTTTTTATTGTAGAGCACACATATCAGGGCAAAGTGCTGCACACACAACTACAAATCATTTTGAGGAAAAAAGTTGTAAAGAAAATAAAACTGCAACTGCTTTTAGTTATGCATTCCCAACTTGAGGAATTCATACTGGCAAAGGAGTTCTGGCCCCAGAGAAGGGCTTCTTGATGGTGGATGGCCCAGATTCCTGCAGCATCTGAGGTCTCAGGCTGGGGACTCTATGCAAAGCCCTCTAGACTGATGGTGGCTTGGTTGCCAGGAGGGTCTCTGTTCCTGACAGGCCCAACTCCTGGCCAGACTGGCAAGGTGACATTCCTAATGAATCTAGAACAGTAAAACTTTGCAGCCTTCTAGGATCTGGGCAGGTAGGAACAGCCAAGACCTCATCTTTTTTTCTTTGTTGTTTTTTAGAAGCCCCTTCCTGAGCTCCCATGCCCTTGAGGAAGAGAAGGCATCAACTCAGTCTGCAGGCCTGAGCTCTGGCCTTGGATGCATGCTGCAAGCAAACAGAAGGGGTTACACCTTCTTAAGAGGGATGACATTGGGAAGAGGTCCACGCTGACCAATGGAGGGGAAAAGAAAAGGAGAAAGCCAAGAGAACAAAGGAAAAAAATAAAAACTTTTTTTTAATAACAGGAAGCAGACAATTAAGAGCTGATAATATGCTGTAATTGTCAAGCAGTCAGCATCCATGTTGCTTTGCCATCTTCAATATGTGGCAGCTGATCTCAGCCATCAAATTCACATTTCAGCAGCAGAAAGGAAAAAGGGGCAAGGAACGGAATATTCCTTCCCTGTAAGGATATAACCCCAAATTACATGAATTTCTTCCATTTACATGCTATTGTTAAAATATAGTCAAAAGGTCATTCTCAGTTAATAGGAAAGATAAAATAATGCAATTTTTATTCTAGATGGCTTTGTGCCCAATTAGATTAAAAGGGAAGACTCAGTTTACAGGTATATTTGTTTTTCGTTCTGGTACATACAAATAAAAATGCAAGTAATACCTATTACAACTATCTGAAAGAAAAATAAACTTCTACAATTTTTGAAGTCATTTTATAACCATAAAAAGACCAAGACTTAAGAGGAAACTGATAGCATAGACAGCAGCGCAAGGAGAACCCAAGATCCTGAAGACACAGCTGCATCACCAATTACACCCCTGTTTTTATCACAGCAGCTTTGTAGTATAGTTTCAAGTTGGGGATTGTGATACCCCCTGCCATGGCTCTGTTGCTTAGAATTGCTTTTGGTATTTTAGGTCTCTTCTGGTTCCAAATGAATTTTTGGATTGTTTTCTCCAGTTCTGTGAAATATATTGTTGGAATTTCAATTGGCATTGAATTAAATCTATATTGCAGTTTTGGAAGTATGGCCATTTTCACTATATTGGGTCTTCCTACCAAGAAGTGAGGGATGTCTTTCCATTTTCTTATATCCTCTTCGATCTCTTTTTTCAGAGTGCTGTAGTTTTCAGTGTAGAGGTCTTTTGCTTCTTTTGTTATTGACTCCTAGATATTTCAATTTTTTGGATGTTATTGTGAAAGGAATTGTTTCCCTAATTTCTCTCTGAGTCTTTTATTTGTGTACAAGAAGGCTAATATTTTTTGAGTGTTGACCTTGTATCCAGCTACTGTACTGAATCTGGCAATTAAGTCTAGAAGTCTTTTGGCAGAGTTTTTTAGTTCTTCTATGTAGAGTATCATATCATCAGCAAATAATGACAGTTTAGCTTCTTTCTTTCCTATCTTTATTCTTTTCCTTTCCCTTATCTAATGGCTGTGGCTAATGTTTCCAGAACTATATTGAATAGGACTGGTCATAGTGGACATCCTTGTCTTGTTCCTGAGTTTAGTGTGAAGGTTTTCAGTTTTTGACCATTTAGTATGATGTTGGCTGTTGGTTTTTCATAGATAGCCTAAATCAGGTTGAGATAAAGACCTTCTGTTCCAGTTTTCTGTGCAGTTTTTATCATGAATGGGTATTAGATTTTGTCAAATCCTTTTTCTGCATCTATTGAGATGATCATATGGTTTTTGTCCTTGACTCTGTTAATATAGTGTATTATATTTATTGATTTACTTATGTTGAACCATCCTTGTATCCCTGGGATAAGTCCCACTTGGTCAGGGTGTATGATCTTCTTGATGACCCTCTGTATTCTTTCAGTCTATGAATGTCTTTTTGAATTAGGTGTGTTTCTTGTATACAGTATATTTTGGATTTTTCTTCTTAATCTATTCTGCCAGTCTATTTCTTTTGATTTGTGAATTTTGGCCATTAACATTGATGGTTGTAATTGATAAATATTGACTCATTCTTGTCATGATGTCTTACTGAATTTGGCTCTTTTATTTTTTATTTTTCCCCCTTTACCTTTAGTTTCTTGCCTTGCCTGGTGGCTTTGCTCTGTTGGGCCTCATGGAGTTGTGACCTTCATTGTATTTTTCTAGGATATTGTTCAGAATTGTTTGAAGTGCTAGTTTGGTGTTCATTAAATTTCTCAGATGCTCTTTGTCGTGGAAGTATCTAATTTCCCCATCGATTTTGAAAGATAATTTTGTAGGATACAACAGTCTAGGTTGGAAGTTATTTTCTTTTAGGG